AGGTGGTAAAGGTTAGAAATTATCAAATGGAACCCCTAACAAAAGCAAAATTGGAAGAATAGATCCAACTTACTTGGAATTGGCAGCGTTGACGAGCCGGAACCTATAGATCCTGGGATAAACATTGAGATACGGCCAGGCCTTGCCATTAACCAGCACCACATCGCCAAAGTAATCCGGGCACCACACCGGGTGGACGCTGGGGTTGATCCCCACGCTGGGATACTTAATCCCTCCATCTGCAAAGAACGCCTTGTCTTGGATGAGCAATGTATGGTACTCGCGAGGAACCCACGAAGGAGTCAACGCGGAAGATTCCACCAGATATACCCCCACGAGCCCCGCGGCGATGTTGAGCCGCGTGATCCCGTACGTATGGTCGTGGTACCACAGCGTGGTCGGGAGCTGCTCGTTCGGGTAGACGTAGTCCTGAGAGACGTAACTGGGGCCGTGCTCCCCAAGTGGGGTGAACCACGCCTGGGGGTGACCGTCCGACCAGGGCGGGTCCTCTTGACCGTGGTTGTGGACAACGTGCGGCACGCCGCCCAGCCGTGGATTCGCCCAGTCTAGGCTCCGATCCAACGGCAGCATGGGCTCCACGTCGGGGATGTGGTTCTCCCAGCGAACCCACGCGGTTTGACCCTGCTGGGCAACCAGCGTTGGGCCGGGGTACGTGGCCGTTGACTGGCTGGTGCCAAAGGCGTAGAGCGTCGTGGGTGGGAGGTCCCTGTGGAGTTTCTGGGACAGGTCAACCAAGTCAGCGAATTGTCAACGGTGTAGTCAATGGTGGCCAAAGTCAAACCTGAGTGATTTTGTAGGCTCCGATTGTGATCCTGGGGTTCCTGGACAGGGAGATCACCCGCATTGTTGGGAGCGCGTCCACGAACTTCTCGAGATCTGGGGAGGCTGTGAGATTGAGGCAAAACTCATCGTCCCGGTGCAGCCATGGAGCTTGATCTTGGGCTTGAGTGATCGATGAAGCAGCAGTAGCGTTAATTGGAGTAGAATTTGATGGAGAAACTCGAGAGGACAAGAAGAGGAGGAGGATCAAACTGGCCGCCACCGACATGGCGACAAAGAGAGGTACCTCACGTACGAGCTTGGATTTCTTGCAATCGTGCCATTTTATACCATGGAATCGACTAAATCCGTGTCATACAAAGAATTTCGAAGGTGAGAGCATGCAGTGCGCATGAATGCTTTTCATACCAAGAAGCTAACCAGAAAATTAAAGGATGAGAAAAGCATGTCACGCCTAAAATTGAATCTTCCAAGAATCTTCCGGGCACGGGGTTCATGGGTTTTTCTCCAGCAAAGTTTTCGCAACAGCGCCTATCGCTTCTTCTCTGCTGTTCGATATCGATCAAAATATCCATGGCCAGATCTCATGTACATTGTGAGGATAAACGCATCTTGGCAAGCTACGATCTTTCCTTTCTATTCTTTCTTCGATTCGATAGGTCATTGGAAGGCAAAATCTTTTTTCATTTTTGTTTTCACAATTCACAGTTCAGACAGATGCCACTCGGAATTCAGTACTGTCTCGATGGATCAGGATGCTGTCCACGATCCTGCTGTCGGAGGACACCAGTGGAGGATCACAAAGCCTGCGCTATGAAACTTTTGATTGATCGCTATCTACTCGGACGTGAAAAGCTGCTAGCAGAGCACAAAGATGTGAGCTTCTCTTTGTTTTTCCTGTTCTTCGGTTGTTCGGTTTTTAACAGTTGCTTCTTCTTTTCAGAGTCCGGCGGTTAATTCAAGACCGATGAATCCATCCTCGTGACGATCGTGCTTCTGGAGTCTAGATCTTAGTCGTGAGAATACTGACCGATTTGGATCGGTCGAGATTCACTGTAACGTGAACAACTACAGGTTGTATATGCTTATTGCCAAGTTTTCTCCAATCTTTGTATTTTCCTTTTGTTGATTTCCCAGATTGTCAGTGTAATAATTGTTTTATGATTGCCCACTACTTTTTCATCTACAGTGCGTCAAAGGAGTGCGTTGATCCAGTCATTCACGCAGTCAATCTAGCCAGCGCGCTCATCCATTTTCAAGGCGGAGGAGCACATCGATTGGTCCTGATGATAGTATGGATTCAGCGTGCAACAAACGAAGTACCACTCTCCTGTTCCTTGCAGCGCCATTGGTGCTGTTAGGTCCCTGGGCTTCGATGTGCCACGAATCAACTCCACTGGCTACAGGTTCTTCATTGATCCGGCGCGAGCTACCCAAAACTCAGAGAAAAAGGACGTTACGGTGCTACCACGAGAATGACAGGTTTCTTTTGTGGCGTCTACAACCTTGGCTTTGTCAACTCTACTCCAGATCGCACACTCGCAGTGCTCATGAACGTCGACTCGGGTTTTCTAACCACGCAGAGGATCATCTGGGAGGCAAACCGGGAAGATCCAGTCGGACTCAACGCCACGCTCTCGCTCGCCTCGGACGGTGATCTCGTGCTGAGAGGTCGCGACGGGAGGCTGGTGTGGTCGACTGGAACAGCAAACAGGGGAGCTACCCGGGTGGAAGTTCTGCGAGAGACTGGGAACTTGGTGGTGCTTCGCAACAACACCATCTTGTGGCAAGTCCCACAGATACTTTGATGGCTGGCCAAGTCCTTCGACCGGGAATGAGGCTCCAGAGCAGGAGCGATTTTTCTCTAGGATTCTACTCTCTGGTGGTCTGGTTCTCTACTCCAACTTCTTGGGAACTCGTCAAGAGCCTTACAGGATTCGAGGATACCATGGAGTTGACACTCTAGCAGCTGCTCGACAATCTTGTGACTCGCTCGCAGCGGCGGTTCTCAATGGAGATGGTTTGAATCTAGTGCTCAACATGATGCTTAGCGACGACACGGCTCAGTCCGGAACGAGGTCTCAAGCTCTGTGTGGCTGGAGGTTTGCTGCTCACGAGATCATCGGCAAACACTCCACGTAACCAGTCGTTCATCCAGCTTGAGTTTGACGGGGATCTTCACGCGTATACCCTGGAGAACTTGCTCATATGGTCGGATAGTTACAATCTTCTCGCGAGGAATGACTCGTGCTTGCTGCCTCAGCGGTGCCAGCCTTTTGGAATTTGCTCGAGCAACGGTTGTGTCGGGTGCTTGGACTCGGACGGAACCACGGCTGGCTGGACAGACACTTGCTCCGCTCCGGCAGTGGAGTCTTGCAGCGGCATCGAATCTCTCGATCCAAACGCTTCTCTTTGTCAATGGCTCATGACTCTTGCCCAGTTTTTTTTCAGTACCAGTTGTGATGAATGCATCCTTCTCGTATGTTATTCCAATCTGGAGGATTGTGAATTCGCCGAAGTATCGCTCTATCTTTGATGATCATGAGGTGAGAAAGTTTTTATTTTCTTCGCATTTCCATTCAAGTGAAAACATTCTTTTCCTTTGTCTTGTTCTTCAGAGATCCTGAGACATTCAGGGGGCATTGATTTGTTTGGCTTTCGTGGGCTTTGGGGAATTCTGCTCCAGTGAGTTTCCTTTTCATTTAATGCTCGCTTGCACGGGTTCTGACCTCTCAGCTTGGTTGTTCTCCGCTCTGGTTGATCTTGGATTGTTTGAGTATGGATTCCCGCAATGTCTTTCAATTTGAATGTTGCTGTCCCTGAACTTTTTTCTCTTAGATGGGTATATTCATTTCCCCTTTTTGAATTGAAAATTTGGGACATTATATTTTTTGTGGGAAACTATGTGTCTCACATTGTTGATTGTTGGGGTAAACTTAACCAATATTAAAAAGGTTATGATGTGGACTGGTTATGACAATAACAATTTGGATCTCCTACATTATAATTGCTCATGAGCTAGTTTACCTTCCTTAAGAAAAAATAAAAATTGAATTTCTTATCCCTAAGCTTTCAACCTAATCCTTTTTAGTGTAGCTTTGTGTATTTTGTGAGAAATACAGTTATGGCATTCAACAGTTATGATTGTTCAACTACTAAGAAGTATTGATCACATTCAAAAATAGTGATAGGGCTCAATGAAAAATTCACTATTGCCAATAAGTTTGGACATATTATAATAAATTTTATAAATGCTTGTATTGCCTAATGTTATGGCAAAACAAAAGAGCTTCATGTAGATGCAATTGACATGGAAATATTTCTACAACAATATGTGATATATAACTTTAAAATCCACAAATAGATCCACATGAATTTGTGGATTTTAAAGTAGCACAATACACAAATAGATCCACATGAAGCTCTATTTATAGTTTTCATTTATAACTATACTTTCTCAAAAAATGGCTATAAAGAAAATTCTCTTTTCTCTATGTACAAGAACTTCTACTTATCCAGTGCCACCACGTGGCATGTGCCCAAAACCACATTGTATGTAGGAGATGAGGTTGTGTACTCATTTTTGCCCATTTTATGAAAGTAGCTCAATAGCTATTTCTCTTGCTAGGATACAAATAATCCCCTGTCATTCTCACACTACAAATCAGACCTAAGGTCGCAGGTGCCTGGTCGCGGCATTTGCTGTGTTCTGGTCGGAAAACTTATGCCAGGAGACAAGCAGTATTGCTGGTTGGGGGCATGAAACTTGCAAAGATAGCAAGCGCCCTCAGCAGCATAGTGCTACTAAATCAAATAAGTAATCTGGTAGAAATTGCTGTCTACATATTGTTGTGTGATGCCCTGAAAGCTTGAAGAGAATATCCTTTTGTTATTGAATCTTTGGCTTTTTTCTCGCGATCCATCCGTGTTGTTTCATATTTCCATAATTCCTCGCCTAGAACACAGATGTATGGCACTGTTTTTGATCCGATGATGTCGAAGGACACTTCCTCATGTACAAGCTTGAATTTCTTGAAATCATGCCATTTTATACCATGGAATCGAATAAATCCGTGAGCTTACCAGAAAATTAAAGGATTAACGGTTAAAATTGAATATTCTAAGAATCATTTCAAAAAAGAGAATATGCCGGGGCACGAGCTAGGGTTTATGGATCTTTCTCGCAGCAGCACCGGCGGGGTTGAGCGCCTTGTGAATGCGCTACCGGATTTCGAGCGCCTGCGCCTCGGTGAGTAGATCGCTTCTTCTCTGCTGTTCGATATCATGGCCAGATCTCGTGTACCTTGCGAGGATAAACGCATCGTGGCAAGCTCCTTTCTATTGGTTCTTCGATTCGATAGGTTGTTGGAAAATCTGTCGCGGCAAAATCCTGGTACGTCTTTGTTCTTCCATCGTTTTCTGAAAAGATAACATTTTTATCTTTTCAGACTCAAGCGATGTTTGGCTGTTTCCACAGTTCAAGACAGATGCTACTCGGAATTCGGTACTCTCACGATGGATTGGGATGCTGTCCACGATCCTGCTGCTGGAGAATACCAGTGGAGGATCACAAAGCCTGCGCTATGAAACTTCTGATCAATCGCTATCTATTCGGACGTGAAAAAAGAGCACCACATAGATGAGCTATGAGAAAAGCTCATAGGTGTGAGCTTTTCTCTTTTTCTTTTCCTTACTTTTTTCTAACCGACAAGGACTCTGGTAAAGCTTTCAGGCACGTCTTTACTTTTCCTGTTCGCCTCCGCTTGTTCGGTTCTTAAAACTTGCTTCTCTTTTCAGAGTCCGGCAGTTACTTCAAGACCGATGAATCCATCCTCGTGACGATCGTGCTTCTGGAGAAGGCCCTCCGAGATCTCGGTCATGAGAATTATGACCGATTCGAGATTCACTGTAACTACAGGTGAGTGTAAGGTTTCATGTATATGTTTCACGCCAAGTTTTCTCCAATCTTTGTATTTTCGTTTGTTGGTTTTCCAGATTGTCAGTGTACGTTCTCAGATCTTCGTTGGCTCGCAAAGAGGGGGATAATGCGAAGGTAATGCCAAGCCCAATATTATTTTATACGTATTGTACGACTGCCGACTACTTTTTCATATACAGTGCAGGGTCAAAGGCGCGTTGATCAATCTAGCCAGCGCGCTCATCCATTTTCAAGGCGGAGAAGAGGAGGAAGAGCACATCGATTGGTTCTGATGATAGTATGGATTCGGCGCGCAGCAAACAAGGTACCACTCTCCTGTTCCTTGCAGCGCCATTGGTGCTGTTAGCATTTGTAGCAGTGCCGGCCCTGGCCTTCGATGTGCCCACTGGCACTGGCTATATTTTCTTCAATGATCCGGCTCGAGCTACCCAAAACTCTGAGAACCAGGACGTTTACGGCGCTACCACGAGAATGACAGGTTTCTTTAGTGGCGTCTACAACCTTGGCTTTGTCAACTCTACTCCAGATCGCTACACACTCGCAGTGCTCATGAACGTCGACTCGGGTTTTCCAACCACGCAGAGGATCATCTGGGAGGCAAACCGGGAAGATCCAGTCGGACTCAACGCCACGCTCTCTCTCGCCTCGGACGGTGATCTCGTGCTGAGAGATCGCGACGGGAGGCTGGTGTGGTCGACTGGAACAGCAAACAGGGGAGCTACCCGGGTGGAAGTTGTGCGAGAGACTGGGAACTTGGTGGTGTTTCGCAACAACACCATCTTGTGGCAAAGCTTCGATCGTCCCACAGATACTTTGATGGCTGGCCAAGTCCTTCGACCGGGAATGAGGCTCCAGAGCCGGAGGAGCAGGACCGATCCCTCTCCAGGATTCTACTCTCTAGTTATGGAACCCGGTGGTCTGGTTCTCTACTCCAACTTCTCGGGGACTCGTCAAGAGCCTTACTGGATTCGAGGATACCATGGAGTTGACACTCTGACAGCTGCTCGACAGGCTTGTGACTCGCTCGCAGCGGCGGTTCTCAATGGAGATGGTTTGAATCTAGTGCTCAACATGATGCTTAGCAACGACACGGCTCCGTCCGGAACGAGGTCTCAAGCTCTGTGTGGCTTGAATGCAACGGGAGGTCTTCTGCTCACGAGATCATCGGCAAACACTCCACGTAACCAGTCGTTCATCCGGCTTGAGTTTGAGGGGGATCTTCACGCGTATACTCTGGAGAACTTGCTCATATGGTCGGATAGTTACAATCTTCTCGCGAGGAATGACTCGTGCTTGCTGCCTCAGCGGTGCCAGCCTTTTGGAATTTGCTCGAGCAGCGCTTGTGTCGGGTGCTTGAACTCGGACGGAACCACGGCTGGCTGGACAGACACTTGTTCCGCTCCGGCAGTGGAGTCTTGCAGCGACATCGAATCTCTCGAGTTCGTTCCAGTTCCTGGAGTGGAACACTTCTCCAGCAAGTATGTAAATGGTTCGCAAGTCACCATCGACGAGTGCCGCGACAGGTGCTTGAGGAACTGCTCGTGCTCGGCATTTTTCTTCTGGGAAGAATCCAACTCGTGCTTCACGGTCGACAATACGAGCACCCTCCAGCGAGTTTCCACTCAATCTCACGTTGGTTATATCAAGGCGACGAGAAGAGCAGGGACAACAAGCTCCAAGCTCTCGGCTGGAGTCATTGCCGGGATCGTCGTCTCGGTTCTTGGAGCCCTCTCGCTCGTCGTCCTGGTGTTTCTCTGGATCAGGAGACGGCGGACGAGCATTAAAGCAGCCGTGGACTACGACAGTGACAACTTCCTCGAGTCGATCGAGAACTTGAGGCCGATGCGTTTCTCCCTCTCGGCTCTGGGGCGGATCACCGGCAACTTTAGCAAGCTCCTCGGCACTGGAGGCTTTGGTGGTGTGTACGAGGGAACTCTTCCAGATGGTAGAACGGTGGCGGTGAAGAAGCTCGAAGGCACGGGACAGGGAAAGAAGGAATTCTACGCAGAGGTGGCAGTGCTGGGAAGTCTCCATCACTGGAACCTGGTAAAGCTGCTCGGGTTTTGCTCGGAGGGATCAAACAGGCTCCTCGTCTACGAGCACATGACGAATGGATCGCTGGACAAGTGGATTTACCAGGACTCCGAGAAGAACTTGATGGTGCTATGCTGGAAGCAACGCATAGAGATCGTGCTGGGGATGGCGAGAGGCCTTGCGTACCTTCACGAAGAATGCATGCAAAGGATCATCTCGACATCAAGCCGCAGAACATACTCCTGGACAAGTCTTTCGTGGCTAAAGTCGCGGACTTTGGACTCTCCAGGCTCATGTCTCGCGACCAAAGCTACGTGATGACGACGATGCGAGGGACTCCAGGATACCTAGCTCCGGAGTGGCTGCTCGAGGCTTCCATCACCGAGAAGAGCGACGTTTACAGCTTTGGAGTGGTGCTGCTGGAGGTGATCAGCGGGCGGAAGTGCTTCTCGCGGGTCTCGGAGACGGAGAAGTTTTATCTACCAAGCTTTTGCTTGGAGCTGGTCCAGCAAGGCAGGGACATGGACGTGGTCGATCCCAGGATCTCTAGCCAGGCGGACGAGGGGGAAGTCGTGAGAGTCATCAGGATCGCTTTCCTGTGCCTGCAAGAGAATGCGAGCGCGAGGCCGTCCATGGGCAGCGTTGTCCAAATGCTCGAAGGCTCCTCGACCGTGGACAGCAAAGTCCCCGTCGAAGGCCTGTTCTTCGCGTCCAAAGGGGAGCTTCGCCTCGACCTCAACAGTGGCCTCTCCTCCTCTACCGCTACTTTCAAGAGCTTCTTCTTGGACACCGACACTGTGTCTGCGAGATGAGATTTTTTGGCCTCGCTCAATTCTTTAATGAAGTTTCAAACCTTTGTGATGACGAGAAAATTATGCTTAGAATTATTGGCAACTTCAAATGGCGACCCAAGTTTGATGAGTTCTATCAAATACAACTAAGGAGGTTCAATTAAAGTTGTGTCGAAAGAGTCAAGTTAAGACAAAGAAACAAAGGCAAGAGCAAAGCTACAACTTAGAAGCACTGGAAGCCCACACAGAAGGAAGCCAACGAGGAGCGGCCAAGCAACTGCAAACAAAATTTGACCTGATCAAGACGGCCAAGGAAAAAAAATTCAAGTAATTCATGCTCCACTTAACAAGCAAAGCAATCTCAGCTGCTCTCGATTAAGTTGACTGTTTGAAAAGCCCATATACAAAGGCAAAAGTCCAATGTGGTCAACGGGCCTTGGAAGATTCCTTGGCGCACAGGCTCTGGGCCAGCAGCACAAAAGCCCCGGAGCTGCCGGGCGTGGCAACCGACAGGCCATCCGCGGCCCTCTTGGCGTGCTCCTCGTTGTCATGGAGCTTACACCCGTTGAGCAGCGTTGACCAGCACACGAGGTCAGCGCCGCCGGGCATCCTCCGCACCAGCTCCTCCGCCTCCGCCAACCTCCCCGTCCTGGCCAGCAAGTCCACCATGCACCGGTAGTGCTCCACCATCGGCCTCGTGTCAAAGTCCGCCACCATCGCCAAGAACACCTCGCGGCCTTGCTCGAGCTTCCCGGCGTGGCTGCAAGCGAAGAGCAGGCTTATGAAGGTGACATCGTCGGGATCCATCCCCTCCTGGCACATCATCCTCTGGATCGCGAATGCCTCGTCGATGGATTGGTGCTCGGCAAACGCAGCCAAGATGGACGTCCACGAGACTACGCTTCGATCAGTCATGGCCGCGAACACCTCCCAGGCCTCGCTTACACTGCCGCTCTTGCCATACATGCTGATCACAGCGTTGGCGACCGCGCCGTCGGGCTTGATCCCGCTCTGGAGGAGCTGCTGGTGGATCCGCCGCCCCTCCTTGAGTGATCCGGCTCCGTCCGCGCAGGCGTCGAGCGCGCTGATGATCGTCACCGGGTGTGACTGCAGCTCGAATCCTTCCATGCGGTGGAAGAGCTCGAGCGCTTGCGCGGAGTGGCCATTGCGCGCGTAGGCCGAGAGCATCGATGTCCAGGTGACGACGCTCTTGCGCGGCATCCTCTCGAAGATCTCGCGCGCGAGCTCCCAGTCGCCAACCTTGGCGTAGAAGTTGATGAGCGCGTTGCCGAGAGTGATGGCGCCGGTACCATCCCGATCGACGCCCTCTTCTCGTGATCGATCGAAGAGCTCGCGGACGATCTTGGCAGTGGCAGCGTCGCCCAGCTGCGTGCATGCGTCTAGCACGCTGATGAGCGTCACGTTGTTGGGTCTCACGTCCATGGATCGAAAGAGCTCCAGCGCGCGCCGGGGCTGGCCGATCTGAGCGTAGGCCGCGATCATCCCCGACCAGGTGAAGCAGTTTCTCCGCTCCATCGAGTCGAAGAGCGCTTGCGCGTCGCGGATCATCCCCCACTTGCCATACATGTTGACGAGCGCGCTGCCGACGATCACGTCGCCAGGAAGGAGCCCGCGCTGCGCAGCGCGAGCGTGGATCTGCCGCGCCAGGAGCTCGCGGCTTGCGGAGAGCTTCTCCTTCGCGCAGGCATCGATGACGCTAACAAAGGTGATGGCGGTGAAGTCCATCCCCTCGTGATCCATACGCCGGAAGAGATCGATCGCTTGGGATCCCCGCTGGTTCTGCGCGTAGGCTGAGATCATCGCGTTCCAGCAGACGTTTGATCGGTGGCGGAGCTTGTCGAAGACGATCCTGGCGTCGTCCGGGCACGCGCACTTGCCATACATGTTGACGAGCGCGATCCCCACGCTTCCAGCACCGCCATAGCTCTCAAACACCGTCCCTCGCACGCTCTCGTGGATCTTCCTCCCGTCGGCGATGGCGCCCAGCTTGGCGCACAGCCCCAGCGCCGCACAGTAGCTCACGCTCGATCGACTCAGCCCCGGGTCCATCTTCCAGTAGAGATCCAGCGCCTCGCGCGGATGCCCATTCTGGGAAAATGCCGCAATCATGATGTTCCACGAGTGGGCATTGCGAGGATCGATCGAGTGGAAGGCCTGGAGCGCATCGTGTATCCTGCCGCAGCTGCCATACATGAGCACGACGAGATTCACGAGGAAAGTGTTGCAACTCTCGCGGCTCGCGACGATTTGCCGGTGGAGGCGCTTGCCCTCCTCGAGAGCCCTGTGGAGAGCGCACCTTCTCAGCAGCACTCCACACGCCTCCACATCCAAAGACGATGGGTTTGATCGATCTTCCAGCCTCCGGACGTCGCATCGCAAGGAATCAAGGCCGCCGGCGCTGCCGATAGTGGTCGAGCTGCAAGAATGCTGATCCCGGAGCTTGCGAGGCTTGTCTCGCGCGGCAAATTTGGCCGAGTGCTCCATCGCGTCCTCCGATTTGGGAATCTCCAGCTTCTGCCGGCACACTGTCATGAGTAGCGATCTCGATTGCTCTGGAGCTCCTGATCTGGGCATGGCCCGGACCTGGGAAGTCCTCTCCACTCCAAAGTAGTCGCTCTGGAGGATCATCAAAGACAAAAGAAAGGATAGTCAGCTGAACATGACAGTTGATATTTAGGGTTCTTCCGTAAATCTCGGAAGAATTTTACGTTTCGTCCTCAATGAGACGTTTTTCTTTTTCTCTCCTACCAGCCTCGTGACGCCTCGTACCACAGCTCCAAACGCATCGACAAATTCTGTTCTTCCCTGGAAGCGCGGGTCGGCATAGCTCAACTCCGGCACCATCTCCACAATCTTCTCTTGCATGCGCTGGATCTCCTCCACTTCGATCGACAAAAGCCTTGTTTCGATCACTCCATCCATCACCAGCTCGGACTCCGGTATCAAGACCGAATAGCTGCTGCTGTCCGCCGGGAGGTTCCACGCATACTGGCTGTAAGCCGAGTGCTCGCTGAAGAACACCGGGATGCATCCGGCAAGCAGCGAATCAAAAGTGGAACGCCGAGTGAAAGAGTCTCCCCGAGGCTGGAGGCAAAACGTCGAGCTCAAGAACAGCTCCATCACCCTGTGAGGATCGTGACACTCTCCACCGCTCTCTCCCTGGCAATCCAGCATCCGGCAGTGCTGCGATGACTTCCGGCACTGATCAAAAACCCTGTCCCGGACCAAGTTCTTGGCCTTCACAGCTCCCACAAACCCGATCAACTCCCTCCTCCTTCTTCTAAAAGAGTGCCTCAGCCTTTGCTGCCAGCTTTGGAGCTGAGACGCTGTCGATGGATGAAAGTACGTCGGATACGGGATCCCGTGCTCGTTGGGCAGCCAGGGACGAGCCTCGATCAGCAAAACCGACATGTTTCTCGTCCAAGGCAGCAGCAGAAGATTGTTTCCCCAGGACTCCGGACTGTTCGAGCTCCGGATAAAGTCCCAAGTGATCCTGCCTGACACCATGAAATGATCCCTGCCACCGGAAGCTTTCCACTGTTCCTGTCTCTGCAGCCACTTCCCCAGTCTCTTCCCGGCCTCGTCTCTCACGCTCACATTCTTCTGCCCGACGTGCCTCGACATCTCGAATCCTGCGTAGAACGGAACGTAAATCGCCGTTGCTCGCTTCCAGTCACTGGTGAGGCACTCGTACCCCTTCATGCTCTCGTGAAAGATGACTTCCGCCGAGAACTGGTTTGTCGCATACCACCCCGCTCGAGACGTGAGGTCCAGAGCGACATCGTTGAGAGGCTGCCCGAGTCCTGCATTTGCTATGTGGGGGCACATATTCGTCCAAACGCTGAGCCTGTCACACTGCTCCAGCAATCCCCGGTTGAAGCTTGCAGGGAGCGTGTACATATAGACGTACCTTCCACGGCAGCGTGTTTTCCTCTTCTCTGCTCGCACCCCTCCTGTTTGAGGATTCTCTGCTGTCAAACGCCTCTCAAGAAGCCTCGAGCTCGGTGTTTCTCTGGTAGAAATGATGTATGACGCGGCGGCTGCAACAATCTCAGTCTCGGCAGCCTTGTCCAATGCGATCCAGTACTCAGAAACCAGCAGCAACACGAGGCACCATGAAGCCATCACCGTGACCACCATCCAGCAGCCACAACTGCAGCTCCAAAGCCAAGAAGCCATCGGCATCCTCAGTCGTTTCCGAGGGTGGACTTCCCGTTTTGCTGCACTAACAAAGAAAGGTTAAAAATTCTCTAAAAGTCAGTACCTTCCAAGGAAAAAAGCATTCACCACATGCAAGCCTGTTGTCTGTCGCAAACGTCGCCACACAATTCCAAGCTGCCTTAACTCGTTCGGAGCAGTGCCAGTGTCACGTTTAAAGAAAAGAAGGAGCCGCTATGAATGGCGACAAGCCAGGCAAGGAATCTGGATTGAATGCCAGCAACCATGGATCTATAAGAAGAAAAACAAAAAAGAGGAATCATCAGATAGAGGAAGCGTTACTACTACTAGATACGAAACTTTCATTACCAACAGTTGGTTCCAGTATTCAAAGTCGGTGCTTCTGTCTGTCTGTCTCTCTCCCACTGAAAAAGAGAAGAAAAAAGCCTGCATTGGAATTTATTTTGAAAGAACTTTTGAAGTAAATGACGGTAAGAAGTAAGAACCTCTTGTAAAGTCGAGTTTCAAAAGAATCCACGCTCCATTCCTCACCTGAAACTCTGGAACTTTAAGCACGAAGAAATCACTTAAGCCTCCTTCCACATCCATAGCGAAACATTTTCTCTACGAAATTGACAATCGTCGGCGTAGGAGCGGCGGGGCTTTGCCTGCCACCATTCACTGCTTCTTTCTTCCCGCCTGAGACTGCCAACACCCGAATTGAATCCTCCGGACCATTGAGCTCGTCAGTCTCCCCCCCTTCAGCTCGTCGTCATCCTTGCCTTGCAAGAGAGCCGTTCGCATGTCAATAACAGCCTCCACCGCAACGTTGAAGGAGTCTTGCATGGATTCCAGCCGCTGCCGTGGATCCTGGATCACCTCCTCTCTCATCCCGAGGACTTCATCGGTGGGGATCTGTCGGAGCACACTCTCGATGCTCACGTTTCCTCTTCGGACGTCGATCTCGGAGATGTACTTGCGTGGGAGGTGCCACACAAACTGTGAGTAAGCCGAGTCCGGGTGGAAGAAGACCGGCATGCACCCGGCGTCGAAGATGGAACGCCGGGTGAAAGAATCTCCCTGCAGTTGTAGGCAAAAGACCGAACAGCTTCATCACGGCACTGACTGCGGCGATTCCCGGCACTGGTCCATGATCCGCTCACGAATCGACTTTATCAAGTGCCGCGAGCTAAAGGCTGCTGATGTTTAGCTTCAACGTACTCCAGCCAACTTAGCCACAAAAGTAGTTCCACTATGCTCAGTGGAGTCTATCAACGACTGGAACAAAGGGAGAGCAGATGTTGCAATAACGTCGTCAAACTCATCTCGACCAGCCTTGAAATGAAATACCTGTGTTGTCATCTGTGAAACGACTCGGAATTTTTGGTACAAGCGCTCTCAGGCTAATGTGTCTATAACACTTTCGGCCCGTTAGACAATCCAAGGAGGATCTCGAGAAGAAAAGCGGCCTAACCAGAGTGGCTTCGCTAAGGAACGGCCTTTCGAGATGCAACCTTGTCAAAGTGTCGGGCCTCTTGAATAAAATTTCTAAGATCTAAACCTTAAGCTTTTACAATCACAGATTTGTTTGCGTTCTTCAGAGTTTACTGATGCTATCTTCTCTTTCATGCGGTGGATTTCAGTCTAGAATCCAGCAGCAACACGAGGCACCATGTAGCCATCACTGAGACCACCATTCAGCAGCCACAACTGCAGCTCCAAAACCAACAAGCCCTCGTGCATCCTCGGTCGTTTCCGAGGGTGGACTTCCCGTTTTGCTGCTGCGCTGCACTGCACTAACAAAGAAAGGTTAAAGTAGATAGCAGCAGATTAAACCAAGTCAAGTCAGGAGTACCTTCCAAGGAAAAAACTATTCACCACATGCAGGCATATTGTCTGTCGCAAACGTCGCCACACAATTCCAGGCGAGGAACAGTGCCTTAACTCGTTCGGCGCAGTGCCAGTGTCACGTTTAAGGAAAAGAAGAAGCCGCCATGAATGGTGACCGAGGAATCTGGATTGAATGACAGCAACCATGGATCTATAAGAAGAAAAACAAGAAAAAGAGGAATCATCAGACAGAGGAAGCGTTACTACTACTAGATACGAAACTTTCATTACCAGCATTCAACCGGGTTGGTTCCCGTATTCAAAGTCGGTGCTTCTGTGTCTCCCACTGAAAAGGAAAAGAGAAAAGCCTGCAATGGAATTCATTTAGTTGTTGAAGAACTTTCGAAGTAAATGAGAAACGAAAGGTAAGAACCTCTTTTAAAGCCGAGTTCTCAAAAGAATCCGCGCTCCATTTCTCTTATTGCACACCTGAAACTCTGGAACTTTTAAAACACTTGAAGCCTCCTTCCACATCCATATCGAAACATTCTCTCTACGAAATCTACATATCGTCGACGTAGGAGCGGCGGGGCTTTGCCTGCCACCAATCTCTACTTCTTTCTTCCCGCCTGAGACTGCCAACGTCGGATTGATTCCTCCGAACCATCAAGCTCGTCAGTCTCCGCCCCTTCGGGCTTGTGGAGCTTCCTCAGCTCGTCGTCATCCTTGCCTTGCAAGAGAGTCGTTCGCAAGTTTGCGTTCTTGTCAATAACAGCCTCCACCGCAACGTCGAAGGCGTCTTGCATGGATTCCAGACGCTGCCGTGGATCCGCGTAGAGCAGCCTCGGGATCAGCTGGATCACCTCCTCTCTCATCCTGAGGACTTCATCGGCGGGGATCTGTCGGAGCACGCTCTCGATGCTCACGTTTCCTCTTCGGATGTCGATCTCGGAGATGAAAACCGAGTACTTGCGGTGGTTTCGTGGGAGGTGCCACACAAACTGTGAGTAAGCCGAGTCCGGGTGGAAGAAGACCGGTATGCACCCGGCTAGCATCGAGTCGAAGATGGAACGCCGGGTGAACGAATCTCCCTGCGGCTGTAGGCAGAAGACCGACTCCTCGAACAGCTTCATCACGGCACTGGGAACGTGACACTTGCTCTCGCCGAAGTCACACTCGAGGAGCTTGCACTGCGGCGACTCCCGGCACTGGTCCATGATCCGCTCACGGATCGACTTTCTCAACTGCTGCCTGGGTGCTCCAGCGAAGGAAAACAAAGCCGGCCGCTCCATCCCCCGCATTCTAACTTGCCAGTCCACAACATCCGAGTCCTGGGTCGGATGAAAGTAAGTTGGATACGGGATGGCGAAGTCGTTGAAGTGCCACGGACTGGCCTCGATCACCAGCGAAGTGATGTTCTTCACTTCGGGAATGATGAACAGCTTGTTCCCCCAGTCGTCCTCCTTCTCGGTCTTTCGTCTAAAGTCCCAAGTTATCCTGCCCGCGACCATGAAGTGGTCGCGTCCACCCATCCTCCTCCACTCGGGCTGCCTCACGAGCCAGTCTACCATCCGGAGAGCTCCAGAATCCCTCGTCGAAACGTTGACACCCCACAAGTATCTCGAGATGTCGAGGCCGGCGTAGTAAGGCACAAAGATGGCAGCAGCGATGGAGGAGTCGTTCGTAAGGCAATCGTACTGCTTCATCCGGTTGTGAAAGATCACCTCCACGGCAAACTGGTTCGTAGCGTACCACCCACGGTCGGAGAAAGCGTTGTCCTTGTCTTCCAGAGGAGGCCCAAGCCCGGCATTGCCTGTGAACTTACACATGTTGGTCCACAAGCTTAGATGCTGGCAGTCGTCCAGCATTCCTTCGTTGAGATCTCTGGGCAATCGATGCACGTAGACGTATCGCCCAGCGCATCGATCGTCTCTGGCTCCAAACATCTTGAGCGGCTTCCATAGATGCTCGTTGAGAGGCGTGAATTCGACCCTTCTCACTGGCGATGGCGAGAGCTTGCCAGGACTGGGGTAACTGCTCTTGAGAGGCTCCCGCCGCGAGCTAAAGAATGGAATGTGGATGGATCTGGAACTGGAAGCCCCATCTTCGCTGGGAGTGGCGATGGAGAGGAAGTTGAAGAAGAAGATCACCCACCAGAAGACCACGAAGCCGAGGATCAAGAGGCAGCGATTGGGCCTCCCCATGCCGGATTTCTCCATTCTCGCCTTGCTCCTAGCAGAGATTTGGGACGAAGCTCCCATCTTTCACGGAATCCCGCGGCTGGGATCGAAATGTGGCTGAAATATTTGCAGAGCGAGCGTTAGCGATCGAGTCTTGACAAGAGACCGAGCGCGCAGCAAGAAAATGCGGAGCGCCGAGCTCCAGATCACGAGATCAAGCAAAGATTTCGCAAGAAACATCGGCAGCTTACCCGATTGGAGCCGCATTGCATGCTCTAGCTGGATCGATCGCGTTAAGTGCCCAGGAAGCGAAGAGAAACCCTGCCGCCTTCTCGCTCCATTCACCATTTCTTTGACGTGCAAACAGGAAAGAGAGCCCTAAAATACTGAGATCCAACGGTGCCAAGCGCGGGCAACGTGGCTCGTCCACTTCCCTCGATTATTCCATGGGCGTTATAGTCTTAAAAGACCCTTCCCTCGTTACAATCTTTCAAACATTTTGCGTTTCAAACCTTGTATAGTTCTTCCAAAGCTCTTAAGTTTCTTAGCTTCCAATTCTTTGTTTCTCACTCCAAATTCGATCCTTCCAAATTGGATCTTTTCCATAAACTTCCAGGCTTCAAGGATATCTTTCTTCCAGTCCAGTGTCCTCGCAAATCCTGCCCGTTCTAAAACTCTCGAGCTTCTCCACTGCTTCCAAGATTCAAGGATATCTTTCTTCCAGTCCAAGCTTCTTCGAGCTCCAAATCCTGCCGGTTCTAAAACTTTCGACCTTCTCCACTGTCTGCTACTCCTCCAACTTCCAACCTTGCGAAGCTCCTGTTTTGCTGATGCTCTTATCAAATCCAATCCTTCTTCCTTCCATCTAAACTCCGCTACTTCTCATCCTCCGGAGCTCTTGCTGTAGCTGCTCCTTCTCGGAGTCGGATCGCTCCAGGTGCTCGATCTTCTTGTTGAGAAACCATTCGTTCTGCCTGTGCTTGTTGATCCTCTCTTCGTGCTGCTCCTTCACCTGTTTGACGGCCTTCTGGAGCCTCACCTCCGACTTTACAACCTCCTGTTTCGCCATGGCCAGCTCCAGCGACAGCCTCTCCATCTGAGTACGGACGTCTTGCTCCCGCTTTCTCGTCTCGCTCAGCTTTGCTTCCAAGGCGGAAAAGTCGTTCTGGAGAGCGCAAAGCTTTGCCTGGAGGCTAAAGTACTTCTCCTCCTGTTTCCCAATCTTCTCGGCCTGCTGTATAATGGCCTCCTCGCCTTCTTTGATCTTCTTCCTCTTCGTTGCCACCATGTCTTCCAGGATGACGTTCTTCATCGCCATCTCGGAGGCTTGAGTCTGGCACGTAATGAGCTGCTGCTGGAGAATTAAGACCTCCGAGTTTAGCTCCCCAACTTTCTTTGCAAGCTGAGCGTTTCCTGTTTTCTGTGACAGCAGCTCCTGCTGAAGCCGGCTTATTCTCTGCTCCTGGTTCTGCGTAAGAACTCGTAGTTGCTGCAAATCCTCCTCTAGAGAGTGTTTTTCTTTCGTTGACTCGAGAAGCTGGCACTCCGCCGACTCCAAGGCCTTACGGACGGTTTCATTCTCATCTTTGGAGACACCAAGCTCCGCCTCCATTGTTGAAAGGTTCTGCATTTTCTCGTCCAGTGACTGGCTCAGCACCATGCACTTCGAGGCTGACTCGCATCGAAGAGCTCTTTCCGATTGCAGTTCTGCTTCAAGAACGGTGATTTTCGTTGCAAGCTGCTGAACCGATTCAACCTCTTTTCCCAGGTCCGTTTGGTATCTGACGAGTTCCTGAAGTGTGGATTCGTGCTCGTGACTTCGTTCGCTAATAGCTTGTTGCAGCCGGTTGATTTCGGTCGCTAAAGAAGCTCGTATAGAAGCCGCCTCTTCTTGTAGCAAACTCTTTTCTTCGCTGTGTTTCAGCAAGTCTCGAGTGTGCCGCTCGGTGGAAACTTGCAACTCCGTCTTGACTTGCTCAACCAGACTTTTCAGCTCCGTCACCTCCTGACACAGATCGTTCCTTTCAACTTGAAGCTGCATCTCTGAGGCCTGGATATCCTGAAGCTTCTTCTCAAACGCATTTATCTGACCTTCAAAACCATCGCTTGGATCATTAGACTGTTTGCTGTCACCGGTTGCGAGCTCAGCTTCTTGCGCTTTCTCTGCTATTATCGGCAGCGGCTCCTCGACAACAGAATCCTCCGCGAGGGTGTTTTTGGCAGCACTCCGTTCATGCTCGTCATGCAGCACAATAATCTCTTTCTCCTTCTCCTCGGCAGGAGCGACCACCCCATGAAACTCATCGTCAAGTACGCAGATTTCCTTAACTGTGGCCTCGGCCTCGCCTGGTTGCGTTGTCTGTTGCAACCTTTCGTACTCCGTTTCTTTCTCCTCGAACTTGCATGTGAGCTGTAGAAGTTCTTCCTTGAGGCTTGTAACTTCTCTGACGTACATGGAACATTTCTCACACTCGCGCTGATTAAGTTCCACCACCTTGAAAAAAAAACAAAAACAAGTAGAATCAACATAGGTAGAAAAAAATGAATCAGGCATACCTGCAGCTTTGTCTCCTCGAGCTGTTGGCGAGATTCCTGAAAGAAAAAGTCTTGTTAAATGCAAAGAGCGGGAGCTTTTGTATAAACACTAGCCTCAAGTTCTTTACGGAGCTCTTCGAGATCCTTTTCTGCTTGGCATTCAGCTTCCCGACGACGAGCCAGTGCTGCTAATGCCTCTTCTCTGGCTTGTCTAACCTGCGCTTTTATGATTCAATAACGAAGGAAATAAGCAAAAACACATTACCTGAGACTCGAGCTCTTCAACTCTGTGAACAGACACTTGCTCAGTACGTGCACGGAGCTGTCGTTCCTCTTCGAGAATCTCTGTCAACTGATATCTCAACTCCGCCATTTCTTGAGCCATGTCTTCCGCTTCGTCCCTCGCTCTTGCTCTTTCTTCTAGAAGTTCTTTCTGTTCCAAACAAAGCGTTATAAAAACAACAAGAAGAAAAAAAAAACTTTGGTTCTACCTTGAGTTGATCCATGGCATCCTCTAGGTGACTTAAAGTTTTGTTCTTGGCGCTGAGCTCTTTCTTGAGCTGGGACTCTCTCGACTCAGCCTCGTTAAGCTTGCTTTGAAGGTTCCGGAGCTCGTCCTCGGCAGCCGAGAATTCCAGCGAATCCTCCCCAATCTCCAGCAATTCCTTCACGAAATCTTCAGAGCCACTCAGTGCAGCCCAGTCGATTTCCTCGTCCCCGAGAGTCATCTCATCCAGGAACGTGTGGCTGTAGCTGGATCGCAGGACCAAAATCGAAATCCAGGCTATATGAGACGATTAAATCTTACTCTCTACTTACTTTCTGCGAAGATCCGCCGCCATGAGGGTAAACTTCAACCCCAAGAATCACGAGAAACCCCAGCTCCTGTAGATCGCCATCGCCGGAGAAGCTCCCATACCTCGAACCGATAGATCGCCTCGGCAAGAGCAGCGCCGCCGTGAGCTGCGCGATCACGGACCAAAATGGAGGAGTGGCTCTCTCTTTCTCTTCCCGCTTTGTTTTAAACGCAAGAATGTGTGGAGAGATTTTTGTGGCATGTGGACCAGAAAAAAGGAGTGAATCGAACTTGAGACCCAAAAAAATTCAAACAAAAAGAATGATTTGAACCCGACGTGAATCGAACACGCAACCTTCTGATCTGGAGTCAGACGCGCTACCATTGCGCCACGGATCCACGTGTGATCATAGACTCTGCTAGAACAATATGGCTTTTAAAAAGAGTTCTTTATAAGCGTAAAACCCTAGTTAGGGCTTTAGTATCATGGATCCAGCACAGGAGAATGCGCCCACTCCCGCGCCCGCGCCCGCGCCGGCTCCCAAGACGAATTGGGCGGATGAAGCAGACCTGGCGGATTTGGGAGCGCTAGGGATCTCTGATGGCGCCGAATCGAAAGCAGAGGAGGCCACGCCCGTGAAGCCGAAATCCGAGAAGCTCAATGACGAGGTGGAGACGAAGATCGAAAAGGTATGGCATTGGTGTCGGAGATGAGCGGCCGGTGAAATCCTGGTGTGTGGAAAACAGGAGCTCGTCGAGGGCAACAGCTTGTATACCTCGGCCAAGACGTTTGAGGAGCTTAAAATCTCCGAGCCGCTGCTGAGAGGGATCTACTCCGAGATGAAGTTTGAGAGGCCGAGCAAGATCCAGGCCGAGACGCTGCCGCTGATCATGAATCCCCCGCATCGCAATCTGGTGGCTCAAGCGCACAATGGCTCTGGGAAAACTACATGCTTTGTTCTCGGCATGCTAAGTCGCGTCAACACTTCTTTGCACGAACCGCAAGCTCTGTGCGTTTGTCCAACACGAGAGTTGGCACTCCAGGTTCGTAGTTTCTTTGTTGTGCTCGGTGATATGTAAACGATCGATCCTCCTTTTTCTTTTCCTCACAGAACCAAGCAGTGCTGGAAAGAATGGCACGGTTTACTCAAATCACATCGACCTGTATCATACCTCCTACGGAAAATATCAAGAGCTCACTCCGCGGACATATACACGACCAAGTTATCTTCGGAACTCCTGGGTCTTTGGAGAGGGCGATTCTCAACGACAGAAACTTGGACGTGCAACACTTAAATGTTTTGGTGTTTGATGAGGCTGACCATATGTTAGACCAGGTAAGGCTTCAATGATGTTGTGATTGTCTCAATCTCATACGTCCTTGCAGAATGGGTTTCGTGACTTTTCCATGAAGCTATTGCGACGCATCAACAAGCAAGCACCGAGTTGCCAGGTGAGATTTAATCTTTCTTAGTTGCCTACTAAGACTGTTTCCTGCAGCTCTTACTTTTCTCTGCAACTTTCAGCGAAAAGGTGAAGAATTTCGTGTCCAAAAGCATCCCGATAGCAAACCGAGTATTCGTCGAAAAGCTCGAGCTCTCGCTGGACGTCATCAAGCAGTACCGTGTAAATTGTCCTACTGAAAGGGCCAAGTTTGAGGTTCTCAAGGATAGAATCTACCCCATTGCCGAGAAGCTCGGGCAGTCGATCATCTTCGCCGAGTCACGAAGAAGTGTGACCGAACTGCACGAGAAGCTGGAAGCAGACGGTCATAAGTGCAGTTCTATCCACGGAGGATATAAACCCGACGTCCGTGACAAGATTATCGACGAGTTCCGACAGGGAATAACCAGGATTTTGATCTCAACTGATGTTCTTTCGAGAGGGTTTGACGTCGCACAGGTGTGGTTTTTCATTTTCTTTTGAGGTTCGTGTCCGTGTCTGACTTACGGATGCTTTTCAGGTCACTTTGGTCGTAAACTTCGACCTTCCACTCGCGCGGGATTATCACAAGCAGCCGGACTATGAAACTTATCTACACCGCATCGGCCGAAGTGGAAGATTTGGAAGAAAAGGTAGAAAGAATCGTGAAGTGCATTCAAGCAGAGCATGGTTTCACGTGTGAGAGCTTTGCTTGCAGGAGCCGCATTCAATCTGGTTGTCACACAGGAGGACACGAGGATGCTATCTCTGATCGAGGAGCACTTTGGCAAAACCATTCCACCAGTATTTCTATGACTCTTTGCTTCGTCTCCTCGATGGTTCTAAAGCGTTCTCTGTTACAGGTGGCCTGGGATGACGACGAAGCTTTCGAAAAGGTTTTGAAGGAGGCCGGACTAGCTTAAACGTCGAAAGGAGTTTTTTCCGGGTTTGTTTCGATTTCTATAGCTGACAAACTATCGAGGTCGAGAGATTTGTAATGTGATCGAAGAGCTAAACTTTGTTACTTTCGGGTACACAGGAGTAGCACAGGGATCGCCAAAGAATCGCTCAAACGAGCCTTACAAATTCAATGGATCGATCGCTCTTGGCAAGGTGACAACTCTCGACGCGATCCATGCAGCGACAATTAAATAGCGGGTTGTGGCACTTGGTGGCCATTCCATTCGGCGATCCATCGCCCATTTTCTTCACGGGAGACGACGACGACGACGACGAAGAGCCCGTAGAATACTCGTATCTCCTGGCGAGCGCCACGAATACGAGAGCGTTGACCCCCGAAAGCACAGCCAGCATCCAATAGTATCTGTCCAGGTGGCCGATGTTGATGTTGTTGGACAGCCACGGCGACGCTGACGTGGACCTCTTGACCACGGTGACCAGCAGCGATGCCACGTAGCTACCAGCGGCGCCGCCGGTGGAGAAGAATGACGTGCCCACGCTCCGTACGCTATCGGGCGCCTGGTCGTAGAAAAACTCGAGCATGCCAATGGCCGCGAAGACCTCGGCCAGGCCCACTAGCGAGTATTGGACAATGAGCCACATGGCACTGTACGGCAGGGTTTCCAGGGGATTGAGCGCGCGACCGGTGGCGTAGGCTATGGCGCGGCGCTTGCGCTCGATCAAGGCGGCGGCGACGACGGCGAGCATGGAGAGGAAGAGGCCGATGCCAATGCGCTGGAGGAATGTGATGCCGCGGGAGTGGCCGGTGATCCGGCGGAGCGCTGGGATGAGCGCGCGATCGTAGAGCGGGAGGACGAGGATGATGAAGATCGCGGCGAAGACTGGGACGCTGGCGGCGGGGATGGTGAAGGATCGCGCGAGGCGGCGATCCATGGTGAGGCCCTGCTGGACGGAGAAATTCACGAGCTGGATGAAGACGGTGTTGAGGAGGATGCTGGTGGCCCAGATTGGGACGAGGCGCGCGAGGGATTTGAGCTCCTCGACCTGGGTCACGGTGCACAGGCGCCAGGGCGTGATCGCGCTGGGCGAGCTCCGCGCGAGGATCTTCTCCGCCTCGGTCTCCACCGCCGCCTTGTCCAAGAACCTGGGAAGAACAGGGATCGATGTGAGCGAGGATATTTCGATCGATCTACCTCAGGTGATGCGTGCGCTGGAGCTTCCGGCTCCCCGGAATCGCCGACTCGCGATCGTAGACCTCGAAGAGCAGTGATTCATCGTCCGGGACTGGCAGATTTCTCTTCCTCACGGCCGCGACGATCACTTGCGCGAGGCGCGTCAAGGGGCTGCCGCTAGGGATCCGATGCCGGTAGCTCCTCGTCCCGGCCAGGAAGATGATCGTGGCCAGCAACATCGCGGCCGCGAGAATGCCCAGACCCCAGCCCCATCCCACGAAATCCTGGATGTATACCACGGCCGTGAGTGAGACCGCGATCCCGATGGCGATCATGAGGTAGAAGATGTTGAAGAACACGGCCAGGCTCTTGGACTCCCGGGGATCGTCTGGATCGAACTGGTCAGCGCCAAACGCCGAGACGCACGGCCTGATGCCCCCGGATCCCAGCGCCACGGTGTAGAGCGAGAGGTAGAGGAATGCGAGCTGCGATCGCGACGCTCTCTGGCACGTCCCGAGGAAGAGATTGAGCTCCGCGCAGCCGGTGGAGGGCGGGCGAAGCGATGGAGCGATGGCCGCGATCGTGAGCATGATCAAACCCTAGCAAAGAAGAAATCCATGAGAAAGAACGAAGAGATCTAAGAGAAAGAACGAAGGAATCCATGAGAAAGAACGATATTTCGGACCAGAGGAGATCGAGAGCTAGATCGATCGCTTACGATGAGGTAGATGATCGAGAAGATCGTGATTGTCCAGTAGCGGCCGAGGTAGGAATCCGCCAAGAACGCGCCGATGAGCGGCGTGAGGCAAGAAGTTCCCAGGACGTTCGTGATGACCGTCGCGGAGTCGGGGAAAGTGAAGTGGATCTTGTAGACCAGGAACGTGATGAAGTTCGTGGCGATCCCAAAGAAGGCCATTCTTTCCGCGACCTCGTTCCCTGCCAAGAACATCGATTATCAGCAACGATTGGAAGGAATGCCATGGCGAGATCTACCAAAGATGAAAGCCGCCGCCTTCCATCCGCCCCTCTCGTGCTTGTTAGCGAGCGGCCGGTTGTGGAGATCCACTGCCTGGACGCCAATCCTCCACTTCTCGTCGAGATTGGAGCGGCGCTGCTTGGATCGATCTCGATCCTCTTGTTCGAGCTCGCGGCGAGCGGCAAGCGCGACCGCCGACGCCATGGATCGAATGGAGGAGGGGGGAAAAGCCTGGCGTGACACCTTGGTCGAGCTCGCGCATGGGAATGGGGCTTTTCCACACGAACGAGCTACGCGAGATTTGGCATCGCGCACGGAAAATGCCGGCCTCGCTCACGCGATCGTATCAAGCATGCGATTCTCGCAAGAGCCAGCGCTCGGTCAATCGATCGATGGAAGGATTCTCCATTTCTTTCTTCCCTGTTCTTGTTGATCAACCAAACTCTCCTTGCATCATGCTGACTCTCCTGCCAACAAGAAAGAGAGGGAAATTTAAACCTCCAACCAAGAACCCTAAAATTGGGGTGGCCACGTGTTCGTTTTTCTTGCGCTATGGCAGCTCTTCCTTGGCATATCAGGGCAAGCTCCACATTTCCAGTAATTCCAGCGATTGGAGCGCGAGGAGCGATCTCTCTAACGCCATCGCGGGCCTCGACTCTCCGCAACCGCAAGGTAGGCATAGATCGATCGATCCATAGACCAAGCAATCGCAATGTAGCTCTTTGATCGTTTCGTGTGCTGCTAGTTCTTGGCTATGGCGGCAGCTCAGGGCGACAGGTGATCCATTGATTGATTGATCGGCGCCGCGTGATTTGTGGATTGTATCGCAGGCCAAATCCCTGGCGCTTCATCAGGTGGAGAAGAGCGAATGACGAACAAGTCATGTCTAAGCAAGGTGTTGCTTTTGCTTGTTTTTTTTTCTCTTTTCTCTTGAGATTGAGTGAGAGTGTTTGTTTTCCAGGAGACAAGAAGAAAGGAAACTTTGGATACAAAGTGATCCCTGGAGAAACGCTGCATGACATTGCTGCCAAGTTTAAAACTCGAGTTGAGATCCTCATGGAAGTAAGAAACTTCTTTGTCTTCTTTGTTTTTTTCTCTTGTAAGTTCTAACGCGAATTCCAGGCAAATGACATTCTTAATCCCCAAAACATTGCAGCTGGTGAGCACCTCTGGATTCCTAAAACATACGAAATTGTCACGGTACGCAGGGAAGAAAATGCTTTTTTTGCATTGATCTTGATGGTTTCTTCTGTTTGTATGGACAAGGGCGATACTCTCTATTCGCTGTCGCGGAAGTTTGGAACCAAGGTTTCAGCAATTCAAGCTGCAAATGGCATCGATGATCCAGAGTTGATCTACATAGGTAACAACAAAATTCATTGCATGATCGGTGTGTAACACTCGTGCTTTGTGTTGTGTCATAACAGGTGACGTGATTATAGTTCCAGAGGAAGAAGAAAATGAGAACGAGTGAAGGTTACTCAATCTCAATTCGCAAGAAAACGATACTTTTGGAAGATCCATCGCCAGAAATCTAAGGCAGGGAAGAAAATCACACGCATGGACACTATAGCATATGCTATCATTGCAATTGATAGATAAAATAAATGACATGGTCTCAACACCAATTGTGCTATCACAGTCACCATATACTCGGAAATATTGATATTCTTTCCCTATTAGGAAGCTCTCGTGACCTAGAGCTCGCACAGCACGGCAATGGCTTCTCATCCTGTCCAGCCCATGGCTCCACGGCACCAGGCCGGCGCTCGCAAGGCCGGCGATTTCGGCCGATCCAAGTCGTGCCCTCCCCACAGCGACGATCGCAAGATGAGCGTCAAGCAGGAGCAGATCTATCGCCAGATGGTGGACGAGCGCGTCGCCGAAAAGCTGGGGAAGCTCCACGATTCCGTCTTCGCGGCTCGCCAGGCTAGGGTATGGTTCTTTCGATCGATATTTCTTCCCCCTTGCTGAATTTCTTCGCATTTTCTTGCTGGATCGATGAATTTGGTGGATTGATCTTCTTGTTTCCTTGTGTAGAGGCTCAAGAGGCAGCAGAGCTCCACCGCCTTGCTCGTGCAGTCGATCCAGGAGGCCATCAAGGAATCGTCGTGAGCGCGCTCGCTAGCGCCAAGATCGCGACTTATATGTACCTAAATCTCGAGTTTCAAGTAAGAAAATCGTCGATTTTCACGCTCATGCTGCGCTCTGGCATTTTTTTTTCTTGTGAATTCGCGATTGGTTTCTCGTGCTCTCCTCTGCAGATAGAAACAAGAGAATTCGATCGAGTTGAAGGAGAGGTAAAATTTTATTCCTGGATGGGACTAATGAGCTATGACTTTGAAATGAGTGCTAGCTTCTCAAAGGTGGCGAGTGAGATGGAATCCAAGCAAACCGATACTTGAATTCCATCCGAGATAAGTGGGAAGAAGATCACTGAAGAGTTTCGTGGATCTAGCGGGTACTCCACTCTTCGCGGCTTCCCCCATCCGAAATCCAGCTCCAGGGACTCGCGCATCAGCCTCGGCCAAGCGTTGATCATCGTCTCGCAGTCGTGGTGGTACCAAGCATCCGGATGCAACTCCAGGTAGTCCCATCCAGATCGAACGTACTCGTTGCTAACTCGCCTCTTTGCCTCCTGGACACGACCAGCGATAGACGAGAGTGGAAGCTCACGGAGATCAGCGAGTGTGAGCTCCGCGAAAGCTCCATACGCGGCGTTACCGCAGAAGTTCTGTCCCAGCGGCGGCTCCAGCACGCTCCTCGTGTCCACCATGAATCTCAGGCGGAGGACGTCGCTGCTCGACTTGCCCGGGAGCGATAGAGCGTGAGCTCGCCAGATGAAAGCCGCCAAGGCCTCGAAAGTGGAGCAGCCAGGGAGAGTCCCATCGTCAAGAACAGCTTGCTTGAGCTCGAGGAGCCTCGAACTGGAGAAGACGAAGGTCTTCCTCGACTTTTTGGGAGCCTTTCTCCTCCGCGACTCGGAGCTCAGCACCGATTCTTGGGTGAGAGTGAAGCGACTACTGCCGTGATCGGTCTGCTTGGCGAACTCTCGGTGCTGGAAGGCTACTCGAGGTGGATCTCGGGCTCTTAGCCGCGTCCGGTCGCCATTCGGAGCCATGTAGAGGCCGTCACCTCGGTTGACGGAAGCAAAGTTGAGGAGGAACGTCATACCGGCAATAGCGTCGGCCAAGGTGTGATGGATCAACATACCAATCGCGTAGCCATCGTCGCCAAGTAAGTGAGTTACCTGAGAATTGCAATGGTTTTCTCAAGCTTGTTCTTTCTTCTGTGTAGCCGGTGGTACTCACCTGGACCGTCAACAGTGGCAGATCTTCCAGGGCCGTGATCTTGTCCTCGTCGAGAAAGAAGAAATCGTCAAAGTGGTCGGGAGTGACTCGGTCGACGCTGAGACTGGAGCTGGCCAGCGCAAGGAGAGCTCCCGCATTGCTACAGACGATCTCCATCCGGCCGGAGTGATTGAAGCGCAGCCTCCCGGCCCAGAAGTGATACGAATCCAGCAGCTCTGCCAGCGACGACTTGAGACGATCGGTGTCGAGCTTGCCGCTCTCCGGCGCGTAGAAGAAGAGGTTTCTCACGTAGAAGCCCAGCCTCTGGTCCATGTTGCACAGAAACATGGCAGCGTGATCGGCCGGATGATCCTTGGGGACAATGCGTGAGACATCGTGAACACGAACAGCGCTCGCCATGGATCAAACTCTCTCGATCAAAGAGGAGTTGTGTATATTTCTAGGTGGAGAAGAGCTTCTTCCTGTCACGGGGATTTCGTGCCAGAGCGAGCTCTTCCATGTGATCCTGGGTGGTTATTTTGCCATGCTCTCCCAGAGCTTGTGATTAAAGTAGCGTGGACTTGGAGATAAAATAGTGACATTCACTCTCAAAGCTTGACGCGATTCTTCTATCATAGCAAACTTTTAGAAGAGATGAGAAAAAAAAATTCCACCTCTTCTCCATCTTTGTGATTGATGTTGGTATGGATGTAACTCCACGCCAGGCTTCCATACGAAATCGAAAGTTAGAAGAGTTGGATGGCCAAAGTTACGATTTGGAGTTACAAGTGTTGGAATCTTCTTCTCCTTTTTTTTTTTTCTTTCTTGGCTATACTCTGATTCGCGAGCTGGTGCTGAACCGGGACGACATCCGGGAGGACATCCGCGACGAGTTTGAAGACATGCGCGAGGGGCTGGACGCGGTGGAGAGCCTGGAGAAGGGACTCATGGCCGCAGTGGTCATGGGGAATCGCCCCTCCACGCTGCCTTCGATCATGTCCCGGCACTTTGTGGCAACTTCTTTCAATCCTGTTTTCGCCGGACCATGCCTCTCGTCAGTCTCGATTCGATCCGAAACAAGAGCGAACGAGAAGAAGAGAAAAAGGAAGGTTTTCTTACCTCCAGACAGCATGAAGATGTTCTCCACACCCTTCTCGACGAACAGATTTCCAGTGCTCTAAGAAACAAAGAGGAAGGCCTAGCTGGTTACGCGATTGCAAGATGCAAGGAATTCATACCGCTCCCGTGTGCTCGTCCTCATCGTAGAAGATTATAATCTTGTCTGGCTCTTTGTTCATCTGTGGAGCGCGGAAGAGCAAAGAAAAAGAAGTTTGAGTGGCTTCCTAGAAGAAAAGAAAGTTGCTGTAACTCACAAAACTTAGAATCTCGACGGTGAACACGTTGACGGATCTTCTGAGCAGTGGCGCGGGATACGAAATCGCTGTTTGGCCAGTTCGCGAAAACAATGGTCAGTCTGTAGTTTCAACTCAAAGCTAAGTTACCTCCTTTCATGTGGCACGCCTGAAACTCATCTTTATCCCTGATGTCCAGGATCAAGCATCCGATTTGTTTCTGCACTGGGTGGTAACTGACGATCCAAAAACAAAAGAGAAAAAAAAAAAGTGGAGAGAGAAGTTTAGTTACCTCGTCAAGCAGTCGAAGAAGTGTGCTCAGCTTCATCCTCCTGAAATTCTCCTCCTTTTTAAACCGGGCATCTTCAAGTTTCCACTGAGTTAAAGTTGACAATACTATGAAGAGAGAAAAACAAGAACTAGGATACTGATCTTTGCCTCGGGGTACTTCTCATTGAGCTTGCGCATGTTGATGCCACTGCAAAACTCACAAGATCACGACTATCTTACTCAGCAGAGCTAGGGAAGAGTAAAAAAATGGAAAGAACTACCTGTCAATCGAGGCTTTGATGTTCCCATACTTTGTAGCACGCACAGATCCCTGAGAGACAAAAGAGAAAAGTTTCCAGCGAAAAATCCAAAGGATGAGCTTACCGATGTGGAGCTCGCCGAGCTCCTGCTTCCATGGTGGCTAAAAGCAGGCCTCATGCCTTTGAGCCACTGCTGTTATTCATGCGCATCCACAATCCAGGCTTGCCACCACCACATTTTCTTACAAAATTTCTCTTCCTTCCTTCCGTGGTGCTCGAGCTAGAAGAACCCTGCCCGATCAACTATGGTGAAAGCTAGCAAATCTGGGCGTGTCGCATTTTTCTTCGCGATTGCAAGCTCGCAGCCACAGTGAGATCTCCTAGGGCTTCAGCCGGCCGGTGGAATCTCACCACGAAATTAACTGACCGATCCCGGAACCCTGATTAGGGCACGACGTGGCAGCCTCTCATGAAGCCACGTCATTTTTGGCTTTCCGACGTGGCAGTTTATCCCATGCTAATCCAGTGTAAAGTTACGCATTCCACTCATACTCAATCAGAGCCTTTCTTGCTCATTTGTCATAAAGATTCCAAGCCCAGCAGCTGGCCGAACCGCTTTTGAGCTGACGAGCTAAGTCAATTAAGAGTCAACTTGTTCAATATAAGTCAACGTGATCAATAAAAGTTCATAACAGTATTAACTTGAAATATACATACGTGTTTATAGCATTCGATGCTATTGCTCATGAGCTCAAAAAATCTAACCAAACAGCCTTTGTAGTTTTATGTGTAGAGGGACTGGAAGCAAGCAACCATTTTCAAAGCACAAGGTCCGCAAGGAAAGCGAATCTAAGGGATGTTTGTGTTTTCCCAAGATACAAAATGACATGAAGATGCGCAGAAAAGGCATTTTGATGACCACCATATGTGCTGTGCAAACTATAAACAAAGAGAAAAGAAAAATCAATCATCAAAGGAATCTCTTGGACTTGATGATCCTGTTGCTCTCAAGCTGCACATTTTTGCCCAACTTTGAATGTTTATCCTGGACTTTTACCAGTAAAATGGTGAACTTGCAGAGCCAACTTGTTCAAGATCCTTGAGCTTGGCAGCTGAATTCTTCCACCCGGATCTCGCACAGCCTCCAGCCTGGCAACATAACTCCAACCCTTGCCTTCTTCCTCACCTTCTTGGAAGGATTAGACTTCATCATCTCCCTTCATACTCGAGCCCAGAATGCAGGTGTTCAATCCTAGCCTCCACCACCTTCCTCAAAACGTTCCTCATGGCAGCAATGGAATCCATAGCCACCACAACAATGCTCTGAGTAGCTTCCAAGTTAAGTGTGTCCGACGAGCAATCCAGTCACCTTTGCCAATGAGCTCTTCGTCCCCAAACCACAACACGTCTGGGGTGACTCCGTACCTGCGACATTCATCTGTGACCAGGTCCAAACCAACCCAATGCAGATGAGATCGATTCTTATGGTTGATTTTTCTTTGGCATCCCCAGCAGCCCCACTGATCGAAGTTTCGGGCATTCTCCACAAACTCCCTGGCCACAGGAATGACTTTGGAGTCGCAGATTAGAAGAGATTTCATCCTGCCTTGCTGCTTGAGTTTCATTTTCTAATATTTCATAAAGTTTTTTAGGAATGTTTAGAAGCTTGAGGCCTTTTCTCCACCACATACATGTCACTCAATAAGTGCGTTCACTTTTAAAAACATTATCATATTTTTTAATGCATATGAGCCAGTTAGCAACTCAATTTATATTCATATAAAATAGTGATGGGTCGCAATTTAGTCACCGGGATATTTTTGATAATTTCACAACGAAACTCGAGGTTGTTTCATTTGGATAAAGTCCTACACTTGTTTATTGACCCCGTCAATGAAGCACAAACACGACATATCGTGCCCGAGAAGCAGTCAAAACCGTGTACATAGCAGCCTCAAATCCTCCATATAAATTGGCACGACTCTGGCACAGCAAAGCAAAGAAGGGATACAAGAAAAGCAATTA